ACCAAGCTAGAACTGTCTAACATACTGGCAGGATCAGTCATCTAGAGCTACTTTATAAGGTCACCTGAGTACCATTGATAGTAGGACATCCTAAACTCTTGATCGAACCTGAAGATTAGATAGTAGGGCATACTAAACTCTTGATAGAACCTGAAGATTATATAGAATGGCAACTGGATGCTGAGTGATTCATTGGTGTCTGCCTCCTCTGGTTTGCAATGGGTAGCCTAGGATAGCATGGACCCCTGATACAAATGGGACCCACATTACAATAGGGTGGAGCGGTGGTACAGGGACCGTTGCAGCCTGTATGCAAGTCTGACATACGATGACCTAGTGATTAGTAGCAGGATTGGATGCTGAGTAGGGGAGTCATGAGGGGCAGAGAATGAGGTAGCTAAGTACCATTGATTGTAACCATTGTCACTATTATTACCGTTGTCACTATTATTACCATTGTTACCTTAGGGTCGAAGGTGTCACTATTGTCACCGTTTCACTATTGTAACCATTGTCATCTAGGTTCGAAGGGGGCCACCGGGTTATACCTCTGATGGAGCAGGGTTACCTTGGGTACCTCTAGTCGCACGGTTAGCCCACTGATTGACAGGGACCAGGTCACGGGCGGGGCATAAATAAGATTCACTGAAGATTTGAGTGGTTACCCTTGGTGGGATTTGAACCCACACGCCGAAGCGACAGATTTAGAGTCTGCCGAGTCTACCAATTCCTCCACAAGGGCAATGTTCAGGGATACAGCCAGAGCAATGTTCAGGGATATAGCCGGGGCAATGCTCAGAGATCTAGCCAAGGCACTAGGCACCCGACACCCTGCTACCTACAGCTAGTATCTAGTACCTACCTAGTATTTACCTAGTACCTACACCCGGCCACCTATCCACACAGCTCATACTGACAACCTACCCACACAGCTCATACTGATCATCTACGCATACAGCTCATACCCACCACATACCACAGCTTACTCCGACTACCTAGTACCTACACCTATACCTTAGACCTTACATTAGAGATGATAGGAATCGAACCCATGCTAATGGTTTTGGAGACCATTGTACTACCATTATACTACATCTCTAGGATAGATCCAAGGTTGCATGATTAGGGATGAGTGGAATCGAACCACTGTCCGTAATACCCAAAATTACAATTCTAACCATTAAACTACATCCCTGTTATAATCATTCGGTCACCAGGAGGGAATCGAACCCTCAATTCAAGATTATGAGCCTTGCGTGTTACCATTACACCACTGGTGTCAGGTGTGAATTGACTGCTGAGGATGGTAGGAATCGAACCTACAGTTCTTACGAGGCGGAGTTACAGTCCGCTGATCCACCACAGATCATCATCCCAAGGTGAGAGAGAGATACTAGAGAAACAGTGTAGTCTATAGGAAAGGAGTGAGCTAGGTGATGTGGGAGTGACTAGCGAGGCAGGGGA